GGCACCACCTCCACGCGCGTGTATGTCCACAGGCGTTTCTATCTGGTGTTTTGGTGTTTGTGTTGTTTGTTTTTGGGTTTTTTTCCTCCTGTTCCGCTCGTGGGTTTTATTCTGTTTGACGGAACAAGGGGAGAAAATTCCGCCTTCTTTGCCCAAGGCGGGGCGGGAGGGTGAGGCCGACCTGGGGCGTGGTGCGGGGTCGGAGGGTGAGGCCGACCTGGGGCGTGGTGCGAGGCCTTCCTGGCCGCCCCCAGCCTCTGGCAGCAGCAGCGTGAAAGGGAAAGGCCTTGTGGTGCCTCCCACCTGTCAGCTGTCTCCAAAGAAATAAAATGAATAGGTTACTTGTATTTGTTTGAATTTTATTTGAGAGGACAGTGGCAAGGCAGTTTGCTACCAGGTGTCTCATTAGTCAGTAATTATGGCGATTGTTGCTATCCCCTCACCTCTGGACCCCATTGTTTGTGACAGCTGCTGTCCTGCGTGGAAGCTTTTGGTGGGACAGGGATGGCAAACAGGTCTTGTGCTGTTCCACACAGCACCCCCTCTACACCCCCTCAGTTTTCCACATTGCTGCTGGTAAGAATAAAGGATGCCCTTTGTGCCGTTTGGGGTTGCTGTAAGCTGTCACAAGTGTGTTTTATAGAGGCTGATTTTAATTTTGCCACCCAGGAGAGTAATAGTCCCAAGGAAATGAAGCGTCTTTCTGCTATTGTTATATATCCGAAGGAAAAATCCTGGCACATAATTGGCTAAAAAATAGTAGTGTGATGAGTCAATAAATTTCTATTGTGTAGCTTTCTCTGGGTGAACAATGCTATGTTCTGGGGTAGTGTTAAACAATTAGTTCACATATCATACAAATAAGCACATCCTAGATGGATACATGTGGGGGTAGCAGAAATTATTCATCTCTGGCCAATCAGACAGCAGTTTTTATTTATTTCAGTGTTTAACAGAATACCTCTCTGGGCTCTGGGAGACCTTGTGAGCAATTGAAAATACAATAACTTCAGAGGGAAAGCCAGCAGTTTTTCCTCACTCTCAATCCAGAATAATAATATATGACAAAATATCCTGTTCCCACAACTATTAGCCTTTCTATCCCCAAGTGTGTAAATAGCTGTGCAGGATTGACAGACCTCTTCGCAGGGTATGTCCCGCCATGGGGCTCCCTGCCCTCTTTCTCTAGTGGAAGAGTTTTTGGCATTAACATTTCCACCAGTACAAGGCAGAGAGAGAGATGAGTCCTTCCCTGGGTCCAGAACCTTAGTTTGTGTAAATGCAGCTGGCTGTATTGAGAAAACAGATTGAAAATCAGCCATACTGTTCCTTCTGAATTTCAAGCATCAGCTCCCTCCATAGTGCAAATTAAAGTGAAAATATTGTATTTTCAACTATATGAGCTAAAAACATTTACAAGGAATGTACCTTCATCTTTGAATGGTACTCACCATTTCACTCGAGTTGTTTGGAATAGTTTTGCGTAGATTCCTGCAGTTATTTTTATTGTTTTGTGTTACAATAGTGCCTAGATATCTGAACTGTTTTGCTAGATGCTGTTCAAACATGTCCTAAAGGACAGTCCCTTCCCAGAAGGTTTACAAGCTAGTTCCTTACCCTGAGAATAGAATTTAATTCCTGGGTTTCATTTCTTGGTACATTTGAGTTCTTGTATCTGAAGAAAACTTAGTTTTTCTCTGTTCTCATTTGATCCCAATTACCGCCTAATTAGAAGTTAATGTTTTTTGAAGGGGGACTACCAAGAGAGTTTTCAAGCAACTTGAAGCATGCAGGATTCTGTGAACTAAGTCTCTACAGATGGTGCCTGCCTACAGACCCGGCTAGATCTCTCTAAGGCATTAAGGAAAAGTTTAATATTTTTCATTTTGTGCAGAGAGATTAGTGGTCCCCAGCTGTGCCTGAGACCATCCATTCTTCACAGCTGGTCATTCTTATTAATCCCCAGGAAATGGCCTATGTTCTAATTTGTTGATTTTTAAATACAAACTGAGCAAAATCCATTCAAACATGGTAGTGTAAAAATTGAAATCATAATTTGTGATGGATCACATTTGTGAAGAGGTAACTTCTGTGGGGATAAACAAATTATACTCTAGGTTCACCTCTGGTGTTTATTTTGAAGTGTCACAGTAAATGTAATGGGAGAACATAAGCATCCCAGACACCCTTTTTAATGAACTCAAATGCGTTTTTAGTCTGACTGTTGTTTTTTGTCTTCATGTGGGAAAAGAGATGTCAGCACAGAAAAACACCGGCCCATTATGACAATTGGGATTAACAGGCCAGAAGCTAGCAATGCCGCAAACCAGGAAACAGCTGCTTTATTTTTACTGATGTTCAATACATTTGAAGTGGATCACTCTAGCTGTGTTTCCTGAAAAAGGTGAAGTTTCTTAGGACTATCAACCCTGACAGTGAATGGTCAGCAGATTACGACAGTGGGAGCTCGTTATGGGTCTTGTGTGCTTTCTAGCCAGATAAGTCTGGGTGAAAGCCTGTTCCAGTCTCTCTGTTCCTCAGGTGCATGTTCTCCAGTTGTAGGGACTGTGCCTGGCCATCTTTGTTGTGATGCAGGTCCCCTTAGTCTGCATGCCCGAGGCCTTAAAGCAGGCACTAAACTTCTCCTAGTTCCCTCCCAACTGGTGGTTGGCTTTTTCCAGACTTGAGCACTCTAATTTATCAGGCTGCTGGTCAAGAACGAATCACAGCTAAAGTAGAAAGTGCATGCTTTGCAAAAGAACTTCCTTAAAAGCGCAGGTTTTTTTCATAAGCCACATAAGACAGTTACAGACAAAACAGCGTAAGCAGCAGGGGAATATAAACTCCCAGCCCTGACCTTAATGCTCCAGAGGTTTCTGAGGGCTTTGGTCACCGCACTTGAGAAAAATATGCAGAGCTGTTCTTGTTCCTGCTTCTCCAACTGCAGTATTTCTTTCAAGCCCCAGACCAGCTCTCTTCCTTAGGTTGCATTTGTGTTTAAAAGTTCATTTGTGAATACTCTCCTTTTTCTGGCTTTTTGCTGGGGAGTTTTTACTGTACCAGCTCTTCCTTAGGGATAGCTAGGCAGAGAGTTGGGTTCTAGCTGTGCTGAATTCCTTTCTTCCATTGTGGTAGAGCCACATTCTGTTGGCACTTGCCAACAATGCTTCCAGTTTACTTTGCCAGATTGAAAGAAGCAGCTATATGACCAGCGTTAGCTGTCAAGGGGATGCTTTAACACACAGTGATTCTTGTAATTGTAAATGATATTTCACCAGAAAAGAAAAACAAAATAATTCTTCTCTAAACAGTGTGAGATTATTTTCTTCTTTTTTTTTTTTCCCACTTGCCAAAGCAAGATTGAAATCTGGACTTCTCAGTATAAAAAAACCCTCTGTCCTGATCTCTCCATCATTAAAGATGCTAAAATGTATGGGCACTAGGAAATAAAAAGGCCTGACTGAGTTTATTTTACACCTTTGCTGTCTCTTTGCCGTTCTTAAAACATGATTACATAAATGAATAATGAAATATTATTTGCATCTCTGTACATTACATAAATGAGTAATAAAATATGATTTGCATCTGTTTGAGGCAAAAAGTTCTTAATCCTCTATATGTTTCAACAAGTGAATGAAAATGGTCATGTGAAAAGCTTAGGTTATGAAATACTCAACATTTTTCTTAGAAGTCCACTTGTGTACTGAAATTAAAATTGAAGCTAGGTGAAACATTTAAAAACACCAGAGTGATTTTCTTTGGTATTTGCTTGTAAAATGCATCTTTGATTTGTTTTGAGCTAGTGAGTCTTATTTTTGTTCTCTTTAAAGATGTAGAGCAGCATGTTAATAAGAAAATTCGGTATCTGAACCTCATCCATTGTAGAACAGTGCAGCTTCCTTTGTTTCTTCCCACAAAGAGTCTAGCCTGGTAATTATTTTAATTACAGTGATTGGGGTACTCTGCGACTTCTGAGAATGTTTATTGTCCTTGCATGGAGGCATAGCTTATACAGAAAACTCAGGTGATGTATTTCATTCCATGCTAGCACATCTATGAGGATGAAACATAGGACGCATCTCAACTAGCAGATTAGTTTGGAGCAGGGGTGTATTTCTGAAGCCTAGCTCCTGGACTTCCTCTCATCCTGTGTTTTCTTTCATGCCTCAAGTATACAAGCTGGGTTGCTTCCACATGACACTGAACTGGAAGATGCACTCCAGTGGCTACGCTGCAACCACTCCAGTGTTCTGTCCATGGGACCAGGCCAGAACTAAAGGGAAGTAAAACCCCCTTGAAATGTGTGTAGCATAGACATTGGGTCCTTAGCACCAATGTTGGGCTGCTCTACTTGTTAGTGTAGTCATAGCCAGAGGCATGCGAATATGAAACCCAAAGTAGGGAAA